GAATTCAAGAGAATTTCTGAGGAGAATTTTTGAGAAGAATTCCAGAGAAACTCTGAGGAGAATTCCAGAGAATCCTTGAGTCTATTTCCAGAGAAATTTTGAGGAGGTATTCTGTGGAGAAACCCAGAGGTGTTCTTAAGGAAATTTTAGAGGAATTTATAAGAAAATTCTGATGAACTTCGGCAAAAATTTGAGATGGTGACCAATTCAGATAAAGTAGAGAAGGTAGGTCAGTTACGAACGAATAGTATTGCAAAAGTGCATACGGTATGTTTTGCTGACTTTCCTCTTTTACCTACTGGCGGTCGTTCGTTCCACGGCGAGTAAAGAATCATATTTCAAAACAACGTTGCGTACCGAAGGTAGTTTATTATTATCGTTTAATATTATCAAATATTGTCACCGCCGTCCCAGGCGTTTCTATCCATCATAGAGAATCGATTTTGTAAAATTGCAAACATCATCATTAATTAGCTATAAAGAGTATCTGAACAATGAATTAAACAGAGTCTTTCGACAACCATCGAGGCGTGACTTTCAATGTGCTCCGAAAGGACACCACATTCCGAAACCTCAAAGATTCCCAGTGCTCTGGCCCGGACTCGTTCCGGCACCCAGATACCACTTACTCGATGACAACCTAGTCCGTTAAAATTATGCAAACCGGACATAGTTTAATGGGTTTTGAAGAGAATCCCTAAAGTAATTCTAATCAAAGTTCCAATGGAATCTGAAACGAATTCCAGATAACTGCTAAAGAGAATTTCAGAGAATTTTTGAGGAAACTTCCAGAGAATTTTTGAGAATTCCTGAGGAGAATAACAGAGAAACCTTGAGTCTATTTCCAGAAAAAAAATTGAGGAGATATTCTGAGGAGGAACCCAGAGGAGTTCTTAAGTAAATTCGTAGAGGAATTTATAAGAAAATTCCGATGAACTCCAGCAACAGAATTTCTGAGGAGAATTCCAGGGAAAAATTACAGAGAATTACTCAGGAGAATTCCAGAGAATCCTTGAGGCTATTTCCTGAGAACCTTTGAGAAGTTATTCTGAGGAGAAACCCAAAGGAGTTCTTTAGAAAATTTACGAGGAATTTATAAGAAAATTCCAATGAACTCCGACAACAATCGGACGAGTTTTAAAGAGAATCCCTAAAGTAATTCGAAGCAAATTTCCAATGGAATCCGAAAAGAATTCCAAATAATTGCTAGGGAGAATCTCAGAGATTTTTTCAGGAGAATTCCAGAGGAGAATTCCAGAGAATCCTTGAGGCTATTTCCAGAGAAATTTTGAGGAGTAATTCTGAGGAGTAATTCTGAGGAGTAATTCTGAGGAGGAACCCAAAGGAGATTTTAAGAAAATTTTAGAGGAATTATAAAAAAAATCTGGTGAGATCCAGCAAGCATTCCAGACGAGTTTTGAAGAAAATCCCCAAAGTTATCCTGAGTAAAGTTCCAATGGAATCTGGAAAAAATTTCAGAGAATTTCCGAGGAGAATTCCTGAGAATTCTTGAGAAGAATTCCAGAGAAATTCTGAGGAGAATTCCAGAAAATCCTTGAGGCAATTTCCAGAGAAATTTGGAGGAGATATTCAATCCCCAAAGTAATTCTTAGCATAGTTCCAATGGAATCTGAAAAGAATTCCAGAGAATTGCTGAGTAGACTTCTTGATGAGAATTGCAGAGAATTCCTGATGAGTATTCCAGAGGATCCATGAGGCTGTATCCAGAAAATTTTTGATGAGTCACTCTGAGGAGGAACGTAGAGGAGTTTTCAAAAAAAAATTAGAGAAATTTAAAAAAAAATTCTGATGAGATCAGGCAAAAATTCGATGCAAGTTCTGAAGAGAATCCTAATAAAAGTTCCAATGAAATCTGAAAAGAATTCCAGAGAATTGCTGAGGAGAATTTCAGAGGAGAATTCCACATAATTCCTGAGTAGAATTAAAGAGAATCATTGAGGCTATTTCCAGAGACATTTTAAGGAGTTATTGTGAGGAGAAACTTTGAGGAGTTCTTCAGAAAATTTTAGAGGAATTTATAAGAAATTTCTGGTGAGATCCGGCAAAAATTCCAGACGAGTTCTGAAGAGAATGCCCAAAGTAATTCTAAGCAAAATTCCAATGGAATCTGAAAATAATTCTAGAGAATTGCTTAGAAGAATTTAAGAGAATTTCTGAGGAGAGTTTCAGAGAATTCCAGAGTTATTTTGAGGAGAATTCCAGAGAATCCTTGGAGCTATTTCCAGAGAAATTATGAGGAGTTCTTAGTTTTTAGTAAAATTCTGATAAGATTCGTCAAGAATTCCAGACAAGTTCTGAAGAGAATCACCAAAGTTATTCTCAGTAAAGTTCAAATGGAATCTGAAAAGAAAATCCAGAGAACTACTGACGAGAATTCCAGAGAATTTCTGAGGAGAATTCTGGAGGAGAATAGCATAGAATCCTTGAGGCTACTTCCACAGAAATTTTCAGGAGATTATTCTTAGCAGAAATCTAGAAAAGTTCTTTCAAATATTTCAGTGGAATGCAGAGGGTAATTGGAGAAAAATTGGGAGCAGAATTTAGAAGAACTGTCAGGGGACTTTTGGAGAAGCCTTCAAAAGGATTCTGGAGTTATTCTGAGGAAAATTCCAGATGAAATATGATGGGAAATCTAAAGAAAGTTTTGAGAGCTCCAGATCGAAGAAGAAGAGCGAATATTCCAGAAGAAGTCTAGCGAAACGCTGCGGATACACGGCCGATGAGAGTAACTAAGTAACTAGTTCAAATTCAACTCAAAATTACAAAAAAGTAGGGTTACTCAGTGATTACTCAGTTTTCCGGGAAAAATAGCTTGAATATGAGGAAAATCGTCCAAAATTTTACTGAGTCTAGGAGCATACTTATAAACTTAGTGAAAAATCTCTCGATTTTCCTGATTTTCAGCGAGTTTCTCTTGGAAAATATAAAAACTTTTTACTAATTCACTGAGTAAACCCACTTATTGTAATTTTGAGTCAAATGCGAGGAGCGTGATCAATTCCAGAAAAATTTTGGAGTTATTCTGAAGAGGAACGCAGAGAGGTTCTTAAGAAAATTTTAAAGGAATTTATAAGAGAATTCTGATGAACTCCGGGAGGAATTCCAGACGAGTTCTAAACATAATCCTTATGACATTCTGAAGACCATTTCAAAGTGATTATAAGTAAAGATCCTAAGAAATCTGAAAAATTAATCGAAAAAATTCCAGATAACTCCTAACGAGCATTCCAAATAATTCCAGAGCAGAATTAAGAGACATTTTGAGTAGATAGTCTTGGCAGAATTCTAATACAAATCTTAAAAGTATTGCAGTGGAATGCAGAAAATAATTGAAGAAAAACTCGGAGCAGAATTTAGATGAATTGTCAGGGGACTTTTGGAGAAGCCTTCAAGAGGATTCTGGAGTTATTCTGAGGATAATTTCAGAAGAAATCTGAAAGGCAATCTAATGAAAGTTTTGAAACAACTCCAGACCGAAGAAGTCTAGCGAAACTCTGAGCATACAAGGCCGATGAGAGTAACTCAAAATGGCTAAAAAATCTAGGAAAATTTTACTCATTCACTGATTAACCTCACTTTTGGCAATTTTGAGTCAACTTCGTCACGGGAAACCGGGGAAACAGCCGAGTTTGCTCCATTCTTCGATGCACGGATGTTGTAGATCCACGTAAACCCGTAAATTAATAGTGTTTTTTAAATGCCAAGCATACTCCGGGAACCTTTTCCAACAAGCTCATGTTTACAAAAACCATTTCATAACCTAGAGAAAAAAAAAATCCAATGCCTTCCAAAACACGTCCCAACCGCTGCAACTTCTCTCTCTCTCTCTCTCTCAACGACGGCAATGGAGTCGTCTACCCCCGTTCTAAGTTCCTTCCATCCCGCCATCATCCCGAAATAAGAAAACATCCGATGCTCCCGAACTCCGAAGAGAAACCTGTTGCCTGTGGGCTGCCAGTTGTTTTTGCCGTGCATTTCCTGTTTCCTTATTTCCTCGGACGGACGGGGAGGAAAGCTCATGGGTTCCCGAAAAAAAAAAACTGTACCGAAAGACATGGTCGCCCCCCAGAAAGGAGGGGGTTCCGAGAGGGGTAAGATGTTATATCCTTTTGCGAAGTTCGCTCTTCGTCGTTATACAACATAAATTGATCGTTTTCGCCGGGGGATGAGGCTGGGGATGTTCAGAAGGATGCAGCCCAGCAGATGCAGTTTGAGGAAAAACCTGGGAAGGAAAAGAATTTCGCTGGTAAACTGACACAAGCGCAAAAGCTTATTATATTTTCTGGTGTTTATATACCCCGTCGGAAGAATGAGGCCAGAGGGCGGCGGTGTGGCGCCCGCTTTTCCAGGACAACTTCATTTTTTTCTTCTTCTTTTTTTTTCGTTGCGTTGTTCGAAAAGAAATGGAACTTTTCACCGCCAAACAGCGCCAGTGGCGTGCGTGGCGAACGGTGGATGTGTTTGACAGTCGCAGTCAGCGCCTCCTGCGAACGCCAATGTGGGATCTTGAAAAGCCGGGAGGTTGGGGCCAGTCTGCCAACTATTTCTATAAAACCGAAACGAAAATTCACTTGTTGCTCACCACTACAGCTGAGCAGCTGAGCCTGCAACGGTGGTGGTGGAGAAGAAAGTGCGAAAGCAAGTCGAAACAGGGGCGGCTGGCGCCGGCCGTGCCGTTGCCAAGGTGGGGGCAGCTTGTTTTGGATGAAAAGTTTTAAGCCACCCTTTTCTGTTCTCTCCTGGCCGAGTGAGTGAGTTCGTGGGGAGGAAGGAGACGGAGGATCTCCCGAAGAGTATACAAAGGATTTCTGCTGCTTCCACGGAGCGGCCGAACCGAACCGGAGTGAGTGCTCTCGATGTCATTTAATCAATTATTTTTTTGCTTCCTTCCCGTTTGTATGTGCAGTTTTTCTTTCTTTTAAAACTATGTAAAATATATACGACCAGAAAAGGAACGAACGAAAAACAAAAAAACTTACCAACTATGTGCACCATATTTTTCGTCCACTTGGCCAGCTCCCGCCGGATGTAGCGCCGTTCCTGGACGCACCGGGCGTAGGAGCAGTCCGCCATCTTGGGCAAAAATCTTCCGAAAATGCCGTCACAATTCGTCGTCCTCGTCGCCAAGTCAGTCGTCGAAATTCCGCACCGCTTACTACGGACCAGTTGCTGCGCTCAGAAGCACTATAATAGGGGCAAACTTGTTGCTTCACTATGCTGTATCACTCACACACACACACACACATGCCAACACCCACCCACCCGGCGGCGCGGTGTCCCGGTAACTGGTTGAAAGTTTCCTCTTCTGTTTTCGTTGTTGTTGTTGCTGCTGTTGTTGGTTTTGTTATTGTTGTTGTTGTTGTTTTCGTTTCGGAATGCAACAAGTGATTCGTCGCAAACTTTTCGCTGCTGCATTTGTGGAAATGTGGAAAAGTCTGGACCCGTCGTAGTCGCCGTCTGACGGTGTTGTTGTTGTTGTTGTTGTTGTTGCTGCCGTTGATTCTCTCGGATGTTTTGGCACCACGACGTCTCAGGAACGACCAGCCGGAGCCGTGTTCATTCTTGCACTACGGGATAGATTGTGAGAAGAAAGAGGAGAAATGGTTGCAGTTTTGGAAGCAGAATGGGTTTCGCCGGTATGTAATGGTTTATTATATTTATGAAGCGTGATAGTGGAGGAGCCAAAAAATGTGGTAGTTGCTTGCAAAGTGACAGGATTTTGTGGGGTTAGGAAAGTTTTTTTTTGTGCAAGCAGAAATGGGTATAGGGTTTCGTCAGTTCTGTTTACGCTGTTGTTGGAAAGCTTTTTACAGCTCCAATCATTTTATCTTCAGTATAGCTTTGTCTTTCCACGAATAAATAATACATACATGATGTAGGTTTATCTGTAGCTAAGATGTTTAAAGGAAATATTCATACAAGTATAGACATATTTATTTAAGGTCGTAGACGAGTTCGTGGTTCTGGAGACCGCCGATAATGACAGCAGCAGAGATCCAAAGACGCCTTATGACAGGAAATCGTGCTTACTTTGGACGCCGCATCACGAAGTTGCCTATCCACAAAACGCTGATTAGACGGGTAGTCATCTATGGTCACGCACTCCGCCCTCCTCAAATCAATACGCCCCTTTCAAGAGCACCCATAATAGTGTTATAGGAAGGTATAACCAACCGGTGGAAACTAACGATTTTAAATTGGCTCACTACTTGACTAGCCTATTGGTCCCCAGCAAATCCGTTTACGTACCCCATTCTAGTCGAAATTCTAGTACTACACTATGTTTGTTTTGATTCGCTATGAAAGTTTGACAGATAAAATGAGGTTTTCGTGGATTTTCCTATGTTTCGAGGGGTGCATCGATTAGCATGGGACCGAAGAGAGTACCAGAGCTGATCCAAAAAGTTGAGCAAGTTTCTTCGGGACCTTGTATAACCATAGAGGTAACTCTAAGACTAAAAGGTCACGAAGAAACGTGCTCAACTTTTTGACTCAGCTCTGGTACTCTCTTCGGTCCCAAGCTAATCGATTCACCCCTCGAAACATAGGAAAATCCACTAACCCCTCATTTTATCTGTCAAACTTTCATAGCGAATCAAAACAAACATTGTGTAGTACTAGAATTTCGACTAGAATGGGGTACGTTAATCGTTTGCTTGGGACCAATAGGCTAGTCAAGTAGTGAGCCAATTTAAAATCGTTAGTTTCGAATTGATTGTTGGTATAACTGTATGTATTCACGATTTAGTTCCTTCTTAATGACACTAGGGTATGCGAAGACCTTCCGAAGCAATTAGTTCGCAATGAATCTTAAAAATACTAACAGGGTAGAGCACCATTCGTAAAATGCCATCAATTTCTTTTGATAGTTAGCAATCGATATTTGACACGCAAAATACTTTCGCCAATTGGAGTTTACCGAGACCCTAGCCTTTATAACCAAGCCCCTAATCACTGATCTATCTAACTATGCTTGTTTCACTGTCTTCGTTCACAAATAAGAATTGGGTGTTAGTTGGTTACGTTATGTTATGTTCCGCAAATCGTGGAATACAAATGAAAGTAGAGCTTGAAAGTTTATTGGCTATACTCTTTAATTGCAGAACGAGGAATGAAACATTCAAGGCCCAAACGCAATATGGGCGGAGGCGGAACGGAAACGGCAAATTTGACAATTGTCATAAATGACATCAAGATGCCTAACCGAAGTCGATTTGGTTCTAACTAGTTTTCAAACCGACAAGTAGGCTTACTCAGATCGGGCTTTTCCGCTGCCGCTGCCGTTTTGCTTCCGCTGGCATTGCGCTTGGGCCTATACATTTCTTTGCCAAAATTTCAAAGGGGCGTGATTGCTTTTGTAAACAAAGGCTTTAGCCGTCGATTTCTCGCAAATGAATCTTCACTCCTCAAAATTAGCAATGCTCACTGGTAGAGGAAACAGTCCTCTACCTGTTGGTGTATTTTATTTTCATGAGTGAGCCTTTATTTGCGAGAAATCGACGGCTAAAGTCATTGTTTACAAATGCAATTACGCCCTTTGAAATGTTGGCACTGATTTATTGACTCCTATACATAGGCAAAAGCTGGTGTTGCTGGGTTGCTGTGTTGCTGAGATCAAACATCTACCCCTGTTAAGTAATCCAGTAGGATTGGAGCCTTACAGGAAGTTGAATCAGTCGTCTCTCTCTCTCTCTCTCTCAGGAACGGGATCCACAACAGGAGGTGTAACATCTTCTTCAGCTACCTTTGAATAAAAGGATTCATCAGATTCAGCAGGATTTTCGTTCACGTTGGTCAGCATTCATATCTTGTCTTGGAAGGTCAGTTCTTGAGAGTCTAAATCCGTCGAAGAACACAGAAAAAGGTGATAGATCTTGAGATATGCGTTGATTTTCTTCCAGGTTCACATTGTAGTTAACTTTTCGAATTCTCTCTATAATCGTGGCCTTCTCCCAATTTCACGAATTATTTCGATGTACTTGCAAACTGCCATTTCACTGACCCATGCTTCGTATTATAAGCTTCATTTTGTTGTTCTGCTTTGCCGATGGATACTGAAACAGTATCGGATGGAGGTTTCAACATTGAGAAAACAGTGCGAATAGGCCTTGAAACATCACTTCGGCAGGAGAATGTCCATCCATATCGTCTGTAGGTGTGGTACGATAGACTGCAATGTTTCTTCCAAGGTGTCTCCTCCCGCACGAATTTTCCGCAAATTTCTCTTAAGGGCATCGGCAGGTCTTAGCAAGTGTTCGAACTCGAGTCGCCTCCATCCACCCAAGATGACTGCTATTCTCTGCTGAAGAACCGTCCAAGCCGAGCCGACGCGAGCACAAGCGCAACATTTGTGGGGGAGAGTTTCTGCTGTACGGGTTGCCACAATGCGTACAGTTTTCGTCATCTACTCGCCGCATCACGAATAGCAGTTTGCGGTGCTCTATCTTCTCGTTCACCAACAAGTAAAGCTTCGTCCTCTGCGCTGAAGTAAGCTGCCTCGATGCAATGTTTCACCATGTGCGTGACCAGTCACTTGCTTGACTGTTACGTTCCACCCTTGGTAGCTCAGTTTTCTGGACGAAGTGCTGGTGAAATTGATCGGTGGAGGGGTTCTGTTGGATTTCGTGGGGAAGTTGGGATAAGTTTGATAAGATTTGTCTAAGGTCGGGAAGATCTATTGAGATGGCTTGGGGGGGGGGGGGGGTTTTTCTTGAAAAAGAAGGGATCTATAAAAAGGAAGGGATTTGATCTCTTGTAGGTGTCGGTTGATTGCGAGTGATTTACATTTCAGAGCTGGTAATTGAAGCTTCAGGCCTCCATTCTCTCTGCTGCGTTCCAGCTGCATCATTGGAACACGGGTAACAGTCCCTCTCCAGAGGAACGTACCCTTTGCTGATGTTATTTTTGCCGTATGCACTCCCAACGGCGGTAGTATGGACGCGAGGTACCATATCCTGGACGTTCCGAACGTGTTGAGCATGATGATCCTTTGGTGCAGCGTCAGCGTGCGCAGAGAATGCAGCCACGTTTGCGCCAGCAGCTCTCTCGAAACGAGTGAACAGCCTATTTATCTCATCGATTTGCCTGGTCGATGTGACGATCATACTGATGTCGTCCGCATACGCCACCAGCAGATCATTCCCGCACACTCTTTCGAGTCTGCACATTAGTGGATGTAGGTAGAAAACGAAGAGGTGCATGGCAAGCGGATCCCCTTGCCGTACAGAGCGTTGAATTTCGAACGGACGAGAAAGGTGCTCATTGATCAACAACCGAGAGCTGGACCGGCTGGCGATTCGCGAGAGTAGAGCGATGAGATCCTGGTTGAAGCCGAGCGAGCGCATGGTTTCGAAGAGAAAAGAGTGCCGCACCCGATCGAAATCGTGATCGAGATCAAAGCTGATTAACTTCCCGGCACGGCGGTGGTGGCGTAGATGTGCTATCCGGTCCTTGAGAGCAAGCATGGTGCTCTCTCATCACTTGCTCGAGTCTGGTTTTCAGAATGCGGGAGAAGTCGCTGTTGAGCAGCGAGATCGGACGATATGAACGGGCTGTGTCGTCGCCGCCTCTCTTCTTAACCAGCACGATGATGCCATCAACAAAGGCTGGAGGAAGATAACCGCTAAGTGCCTCATTCAGCAACAGATTCAACTCTCGGTGGATGACGTCGAACATGCGGTGGATTCAACTCTCGGTGGATGACGTCTCTCGGAATACCATCGCTGCCAGGAGATTTTCGTGGGGCGCTCGCTGTTATTGCAGACCAGATTTCTGCCGTCGTGATGTCGTCCGTGCAGGCTTCATTCGATGGGTCGTTGGGTGGGATAACACTCTCGCAGACGAAACTGTTCTCATTCTCTTCTATTGCCTCCTCCGAGTACAGCGTCGAGAAGTAGTCCATCATGTCTTGCTCTATCTACAGCTGCGTGATGACGGTTCTTTTCCTTCGCCTCTCCCCCAATTGGAATATTGACATGGATTCTCCCGCCACATGTGTTTCATTCAGTCGCATGAACGTGTAGGAAAATCTCCGTTGAAGCGCTAGCATTTCACCTTTCAACCGGTTGATGGTGGTTATCATTTCAGGGTGCTGGTAGTACCCGTCGTAGGCTAACCGAAGCTCGCTGTAGAGATACTGATGTTCACTGTGGAATTCATCGAAGACGGCTCGAGATTTCCACTTGAAAAAGCTTTTGATGTTGGGCTTAGCGAACAAAATCCATCATTCGATCCAGGAGCCATAGTTTCTGCGCTGCCGGCTCCAATATTTCCACTGGCATTGGAACTCGGCAACGTTCTCGTCACTCAGAAGATTGGGCCGAAGGGACCAAAACTCACGGCCATGCTCTTGACCAAGATGGGGAAGGCAAAGTCGGAGTACCAGCGCTTTGTGGTCGGTAAATGAGCAGACGTGTGCATGTGCTGCTCGCTGGTGATCGTGTAAATCACTGCTGGCGTATATGTGATCGAGTCACGACTGTGCGTTACGGCAGGCGTACGTGAAACCTGAATCACGCGGACACAGTTTCTCCCATACGTCTTGGAGCTGCAGTTGCTGGACGGCTGT